AAAAAAAAAAACCACCCAGCAACATAATCCAAATGGTACCGATGCAAATTATAGTATGGTACCGAGAAAAAACATGATATCCACTCACCAACACCGAGTGGGGCCAGCGGGTGGGTTGTGTGAATGCACAGATGGCCACTTGAAGAACATCAGGTACAGGTAAGCAACCTGCTTTTCTTCGTCATGGACTCTGTGCATCACACATACCAGACTCGGCGGAGGGAGGTGTCATCATCGAAGAACGGATGAGAGAACAGCTCTACCAAAAGAGCAATCCCGTCTGGCACGTACATCAAGCCGATAATGCTTGGCGAAAGTACATGGACCAGACCAGATCGCAGCTCTGCAGATGTCTTGCAACGGAACCCCTGCGGCAAAAGCGGACGAGGTCACTACTGCTCATGTAGAATGGCCAGTTGGAGAGACAGGTAAGTCTATTTTCAATAGCTGATAAGCCAGGACAATAGTCTGGGTGATCCAATTAGAGAGTCTCTGAGATTATATCGGTGATCCCATTTTTTTTTTGCTCGGAGTATTTAACAAAAAGTCTATTAGTAGTACGAAAAGATTCAGTGCGGGATCTGTAAAAGGCCAAGCAGCGGCGAACATCAAGCGTGTGTAAAGCACGTTCTATCGGGGTCGACGGCGATGGAAAGAAAGCCGGTAGAATGATATCCTGATTCAGGTGGAACGATATGGCCACCTTGGGTAAAAAGGAGAAATCCGTCCAAAGGACAACTTTTTCCTTATGGAAGTTCAGAAATGGTGGGTCTATGCGGAGAGCACAAAGCTCGCTAGCTCTTCGTGCTGATGTAACCGCTACTAGAGTTTTCCATGACACCAGGCGTAAGTCCACAGTTGCTAAAGGCTCGAACGGTGGTTTGGTAAGCGCTTGGAGTACTACAGAAAGACTCCACATTGGCATGGCAGGGTGAATAAACGGATGTGAATTTTGTAGTCCCTTAATGAAGTGCCAAACCAGCGGTTGTGAGAAGACTGATAACCCGTGTATAGTGCCACGATAATAGGATATAGCGGCTGCATAAACTTTGATGGATGATGGTTTAAGTCCCTCATGATACAAATGTAAAAGAAATTGTAAGATATTGGTGACTGAAGCCGTTGCAGGGGAGAACGAATGGCACTCCACAAAAGAGGAGAATCTTCTCCATTTAGCTGTATAGGAACGACGAGTGGACGGTCTTAATGCAGATTCGATAATCGCCTGAATTTCTCTGTCAGTAGGCATTGGTATCGTGATATTCGCTGTTGAATTCGAATTCAGGGCTGCATATACCGTGTGTTGAGTGAGGTCACCCATAGCGTGAGGTATCCCCGGTACTGACTCGGTGACATGAATCAGGTGATTCGCCATGCCGTCAGCTTCAGAGAGATTATATCCGGATGGCAGATCGTTCCTCCTTGTTGTGTTAACAAGTGCGGGAGAGCTGGTAGATGAAGGAACGTTCTTCTGGACAGCAGCAAGAGAGTGGTAAACCATGGTTGTCTCGGCCACCACGGAGTCACTAGTATCCCCGTGGCCCTGTCCTGGGCTATTTTTGTTACCACTCTCGTCAGAAGTGGGATTGGAGGAAACGCATAAAAAGTCATGTTGCTCCAAGGGACCATGAGAGCATCTCCCATAGATCCCGGCCCGACGCCCACTCTGAAACTGTAAAGGGCACACAGGCTGTTCTGTCACGTGGCAAACACATCCACATCTGGATAACCCCTCAGGCGGAAGAGTCTCTCGCAAAGTTGTTTGTCCAACTCCCATTCGTGGGTTGTCGACATCTGTCTGCTTAATGTATCTGCTTCGACGTTGTCGGTTCCAGCCAGGTGAACCGCCATAAGCGTGATGTTCCTCGGTATGCACCAGTCCCAAATGTCCATCGATAGGCGTGCTAAGGCTGGAGATTTTGTGCCCCCCTGCTTGTTGATGTAGAAAACTGCCGCTATATTGTCTGATGCAATTTGGACAATTTGACGGCATAACACAGTCTCAAAAGCCTTGAGGGCGTTGAAAATCGCCAGAAGTTCCAGGAAGTTGATGTGCTTCCTCACCTCTCGTTGGTTCCAAGTACCTTGGACTCGAAGTCCTGAACATGCCGCACCCCATCCCAGGAGGGATGCGTCGGTGTACAGAGTCGTCGTTGGCCAAGGTGGTTGAAATGGGGTGCCGATCAACAGGTTGTCTGTGATGGTCCACCACGTTAAAGTGTGAAGGACTGCATGCAGGATCCAAATCTGCTTGGTGGCAGGATTTTGTTGCGGTTGAAAAACAGCGTTGAAGAACAGTTGAATGGGTCGCATACGTAACCTGGCATACGGGACAATGGCAATAGCAGCAGCCATATGCCCAAGTAGTCTCTGAACGAAAAAGGCTGGAACCATTCCATGTAATCGATTCCAATGAATATGGCTGCATAAAGTATTCTGACGTTCCAGTGGGAGGAAAGCTTTTTCCCGTGTCGAGTCGAGTCGTGCCCCAATGAAATCGATGACCTGCGTGGGAATAAGGGTCGATTTGTCACGGTTAATGCAGAGGCCGAGAGCATCGAGCAAAGCGCAGGTCATATGTATATCAGACAAGAGAGCTTGTTTGGATTACGAGACGATCAGCCAGTCATCTAAGTATGGGTAAACCTGTACTCCATGAGTCCGCAAGCGTGCGCATACCGGTGCCATACACTTTGTAAAGACTCAAGGGGCTGTGGCCAAGCCAAAGGGTAGGACGTTAAACTCGAACAGGTCGTATCCAACAGTACAACGTAGAAAGCATCTCTGTGAAGGATGTATGGAAATATGAAAATAAGCATCCTTCAGATCCAGTGAGGCGAACGAATCCTCTCTTTTCAATAACGGAAGAATGTTCTGTAAAGTGGTCATTCAGAACTTCCTTGA